AATCTCTACGTAACTTGCTTAAATATCTTCCCCATCTTCTTTGCATAATGATTATTCAAACGCTAATTATCAAAATTGTCAAGTAACCGGGTTACAAGAGTCGTTTTGGTCTCCAACGTAACCATCCTTCAATTTATATCGCATTTACAAAAAATAATATAGTATTTCGAAAATATTCGCGATTATTAAGTTGATAAATTAATGCCGTTTTATATGAAAAACTAAATTTTTTATTTAACAAAAACTTATAATAATATAAGTACTGATTTATAAATGATACGCGCTTAATCACTTGAAGTAGATAAAATAACTAGAATGAATAATGCTGGTTTTTCCCCCCAAAAAAAGTAATCCATTAATCATGTAAAGCAAAATGTAATATTATTCTTGTTTTTTCATACGTCGACAGTTCCTGTTTGTTGCGACTGCGTAATTTCTTTTCATTAAAATTCCTATTCCTAAAATCAAAATGTTGATTATGCAACTCAAAAGATTAGCGTTCTATCGTACTTCCGCGCAATGTATTAATCAATTTGTATATCTTGTAACTTCCCACGCTCCCTTCTCCCTGTTTTACCGCGATGCAAATTTCTAGACCACTATCATTCCAAGTGTAATATCGCGTCGCGTAGTCTAACGTAGCGCATTTGCATCTTCAAATTTTCGAGGGGTGCGCGCACCGATTCCTACCTCGTTCGTCATTGTTGCTCATTGTCTCGATCGACATTGCAACTCGGGTTTCGCAAGACCGACCCATCTATTTGCAAATCTCAAAAGGCAACGTCTTTCGTCGCTTCTTCACGGTTGTTCTGTTAACAAACCAATCGGATCTATATAAATACATGACAATTTCGGATTTCGTGTATATATTTCCATAATCTCAAGATTAGCCGCTACTTTTGTATTATTCCTCTGGAGGATAATAATTTCATCATACGCGGATATATATTTCATGTTATCAGGAATTTTTCATCGCGGTGACTCGCGATATCCGATAAATCCCTGTGTATTTGTATTGTCCTGTAATAATTGATGCGATATGCACGGCAGAGGGTTTACAGATAACTCCTAAGCGGATAAAGAACGAGTGGGACGAATGTTGCATAAATCACGAATCCTTAACATTCGTCGTTTCGACGGAGTCGGGGAAAGTGTTTTTGGAACAAAAACGCGAGAGCTCTCTTATCGACTTTCTAAAGATACGTCACACGATCGATTCGCGTGTCGATCGAGAAGCCTTAGGAGCGCCGTACTGTGGTATTCCTGCCTTGTTCCTTTGGTCCCTTGAAGGCTACTAAAGCCCTAAGTTCCTGAATAAAGTTTCGTATCCCGAGAACGCCTTTATATCCGTCTTATGTAGTCGCTCGGTAGTCGATACGACGAGATTCCTCGCGAGGCGCGACGCGGGGGAGAGCAGCGGCGGTGTGATAAGAAACAGACGGAATAAAGGGGGATAAAAAGTATCGAAAGAAGATAGAGGAGATCTCGTGGAATGTCGAGTTGGATGTTCGTCGCACTTCCCTCCTCTCTCCTCTTCCATCCCCTCTGTTTCGTTCCTCTTTTCCGTCCCTCTCCTGCGGTTTTCCGGTCTTTTTGTATCCTCCGTCCTCTCCCCCTTTGAACGGCGAGACCGGGAGAGAAAGAGCCGGAGAGAGAGAGAGAGAGAGAGGGGGGGGGGTGGAGAGAAGAAAGGCGACGGAATGAACGACGTGGAAAAGGGCGAGACGGCGGAGGAGAGAATCTCTTGAAACCAGTTCGATCTATAACAGAGCCTTTGCATCGGACGTACGAAAAAACGAAAACGAATGCGCTCTAGCTAGTCCGTAGGCCATGAGTTATAGGCGAATCGAGCTGCGGGATTCGAAACAACCGGCTTTATTGCGGCACATACTGCATCAACTAACCCGCAGAATTGACCGAAACAGCGGAGTAAGCTATCGCATCGCCAGCTGATTGTCAATAGTGTAATAGAGTCAATTCATTAGCCGATTTTCCGTATGTGCCTTGTTTGTCAACACGACTCTAATTCGTGGCTGATTATGTAAATTATTCAATCTTTTCGGATTGCGATAAATAACAATTATTCATTGTTAACAGAAAGATTCACTTTTTTGGTGATTAGACGCGCAAGTGCGAGTTGATCATAATATACTTTAAGATGACTTTATTCGTGTGAAAGTAACGGCTTTACATTTTATCGCTGATTACAAAACTACGAGAGATTTTTCTTCTAAAATTTATCCTGAAAATCATCTAATCGTGGGACAGCGTAAGCGTTTCGAAGAATTTTATGAGAGTTTTCTGAAATTTTACCATACGTTTTATGCTAGTAAAATGTATGGTAAAATTTCAGAAAATAAAGTTCTTCAAAATGCTACGTTGTCCAACGATTACATGAATTTCAGGATAAATTTTAAGAAAAAATTCTTTCCGTGAACTTTATATTATACGACGAGAATGAATGCATGTGTATATCGAATCGCAGAAAACGAAATTTGCTTATCTCATGATCATTTGTCACAATTATGAAAGATTTAATATTCAGTTTTTATATAATTATACTTTTAAATTAAAATCTACTAAATCAAGTATAATAAGCAATAGAGCATTTTTCCTTTACTATTTCATTAGATTGAAAAATAAACCGGTCAAGGTTAGTCTCTCTTTATTTTAAAA